GGAGGAAGGGTGGGGGGAGGGGTTTGGACATGCCAACTTTGTAGTACTTCCAAAGTGACTGATGCTGGTGAGGACAGATGACTTTGGGAATGGAGTTCTGGGTGTGGGTATTCTTTGTTTTGCGCTACCTTCTGCTAGCTGTTTTTTAAGGAAGCAACTTACCTAATTCTAACATTCCCTTAAGAACTTTTGTCCTTTATGCTAGCTCTTTTGGTGTGCGTGTCTGGTTTTTAGACAAAACATTAGAACTGTTACTTACTTTTCTTCCCTAAACAAAATTGCAAATATTTTTTTTTGCCTATTTAAATGTGAGAGAACTTGTGAAGCGTCATTGTCTAAAGCAAATACTTGCACATTTAATGCAGTTTATTTTTGTACCAAAGACACATGCAACTGGTATGGCAAACTGCCATAAATCTGTATCACTAGCAAATGTAATTAGTACCTGTGTCCTGGTTTGGGATTCATGTTTCCTACTTATACAAGTTTCAAATGTATTCAGAGGGGTGACACAGGGCATGTCTGCATTGTTATTTCTGTGTAGGAACATAGCCAAAATGTGTCCGTTTGCTTCTGCTCAACATGCACTAAATCTTAGAAACAAGGCAGTGTAGCCACCTACTGGCTAAATCTTAACAGCCACCCATGGAGGCAGTGCTAACTGCTGTGTGTGTACCAGGTCAGCTTTCAGCCTGAGGTGTGCTTAATTGGCTCCATTGCATCCTATCCAGGATCTGGCATGAGTGGAATGGAAGCGAGTGGTAGGGATGTGCTGCACAACAGTGTCTGCATGGAGGCAGCATAGTTCAAGGACTTTGTATATCAAGCTGCCCTTTTAGCTTGTAAGGTAGTGAGCTCTGTTGGCATCATCCAGAAGCTGCAGAACCTGTGGAGTTTTTGTTTAAAGTCCACCTGATGCTTCAAACAAGTGATCATAAATATTAATTCCCCCAAGGAATATACCTATGGAGGGTTTTGTCACTTCAGTAATAAATGGGTTACTTGCCCGAAAAAGTAACATTGTTTTCCATATAACTTCAGAATGAAAGTGCAGCAATAATAGATAGTCTTAAGGAATGAAGATCCTGCCTTTATATGTACATGTTCCTGTTAAAGCCTAACTGGGCAAGAAAAGTTGTGTTATAAATGGAACAGCATAGATGCAGAAATATCCTCAAAAATGTCCAGAAGGGGTTGGCTGACCTCTGAACTGGTCATGTTTCGCTTAAGGTCACTCTTATTTAAAATTATGGTTGTTCTAGCCCTTTACCTTCTCTCGTGTGTGTTTGCGGGGGGGGAACAGATGGATTCAATGGATTGTTCTACTTCTTGGCATGAATTGATCATGGCAGTGAGAGACAGAGGGCATGAACTATTGGGACAGTGCTTTGGAACTGAACGGTTAGCTTCACTAGTACCTTCATACTAGCCATAACTGTGGATCCATTTTGGTCCTGATGTGTGGTATCTGCTGCTATCCTGATTCTCAACATAGTGATGGTTATGCCTGATTATTTAGCTGTCCTTTTTGCATTGCAAAAACTTGGAGGACCTGGCAAAAGTTGATCTTTGGGTCTTCAGTGATGAATGGGCAGGGATTAAGAGTATAACTCATATGCACATCTTCATATTTTAATGCTACAAAAAAGTCTTCTGTGTATACAAAATAGGAAAATATGCAGTGAAGAAGTCACGGAGGACTGATGTGGAAGACTTAACTCCCAACCCTAAAAAGCTTCTCCAGATCGGCAATGAGTTAAGGAAACTGAATAAGGTGATCAGTGACCTGACGCCAGTCAGCGAACTACCCTTAACTGCTAGACCAAGATCAAGAAAAGAAAAGAACAAACTAGCTTCCAGGTAAAAACTAGATGCCCTTTGCCTGAATGAATGAATTAGGAGTATTCCAGATGTGCTACAGAACTGAAGCTTTCCTAATTTTCCTGTTTAGAGTGAGGCTATTTCCCTCCCTTGCAGTCATTATAAGAATTGCATTGGGTTGGCAAAAAGGCAACTAGGGCATATGGTTTACATAGGGATGGCGTGGAGGAGGATTCAAACTAGACCATGCCAGTTTCCATTGGAAAGTAAGTCAAGCTGGAATCATCCAGGACTACCAGAATTGAAATTCACAAACAGGAAAGTGAGATGCTCTAGTAACTGATGGCATTTATCATGTTGCTTAGTATATGAGTAGTACTTAATAGTAGCAGTAGTTTGGGTTCAGCGAGAGGATTACAGTGTGAACAAAAACTATTGCACTGGGAGAAGTTTTGCAAGTTAGTGTAGCCCCAGTTAGGAGATTGTACTAACTTTTTGCTATTATAGGGCTTGCAGACTAAAGAAGAAAGCCCAGTATGAAGCCAACAAAGTCAAATTGTGGGGTCTCAACACGGAATATGGTAAGCATAAATTTATCTCAACTTTTTCCTTTAATACAAGCTGTTGTCAACCTTGCATCTTCTCATCACCTGCAGAAAATGATGGTTGTGACAAACTTGCATAATGATGATATGGATTATGTGATGGTAGCTATACGTGAAATTAGTTATTATGGTGGCATTAGAGGCCCTGCACTATCTGAGGGCTCTGTGTTGTAGATACGGTACATGAACGAACACAGGAAGATGCAGCTTCTGACCCAGAGACATGTAATCAAATGTGACCTTTTTTTCCCCTCCTCTTCAGATAATTTGTTGTTTGTGATCAATTCTATAAAGCAAGAAATTGTTAATCGAGTGCAGATCCCTAAAGATGACAGAGGAACCAACATGGAACAGAAGCTTGATGTACTCGTTAAAGATACTCTTGGTAAGGAGTAAAGTTAAACATCTACATATTTTGCCACTTCATGCGATTGCATTATATTAGACTCCAGAGTCTTTCTCCTCCATCTTTAAAGGAGTGTTACCCTGCTTTCACAAACTTTAGTTCTTCTACTTGCTTACTGGCCAGCTCTAGGCATTGCGATAGGTTTTTTTTTTTTTTAATAGTAAACTTGCACATGTGTGCAAATAATAGCGATCTTAAAGCACATCCCCTTCCTTTCCTTCATAGGACTACCTGTAGCGGGACAAACATCAGAGTTTGTGAACCAAGTTCTAGAGAAAACTGCAGAAGGAGACCCCACTGGTGGCCTTGTAGGGCTGCGAATACCAACGTCAAAAGTGTAACAGACATCACTTCACCTGTTCTCATTGGTCAGAGCTCTACCTGTGTTGTCAAGTACTCCATTGTAAATTGCATTCTGGTCTGCATGTCCGTTTTTAGCATTATGTAAACACTTACAATTAGGTTCCATTGTTTTTAATAACAATGTAGTAAGATAAGTGAATGCATGGTATAAAATGCTTAATAGCATTTTTGGAGCATAAACCATATAGTTTTAAAGCTGCTTCCCACATAAATGCAGAGATTAGGAGTCTTTAAAATTTAAGTCATCTAGGACCAGGTCATATAAATTTGGTTTTAGAAGCAAAAATATATTTTTGGTAGTGAAAAATCTTAGCAAATACCAAACATTGTGACAGGTCTATGCTCCAAGTAAAATTTAAAGAAGAAGCATTTTTTTGCAAATTGTCAGAGTTTGGTATTTTTTCTAGAATTATTGCTTTTTTGGTTCTAAAAAGAATAAAACCAGTAAGCTTTCTTTGCAACCATTAACTTGTACATAGCACACCTGGCATTAGAGCTAGTGTGCCATATAAGACTTTAATTTTATGAGCTTAATATGGTATTTAAATGTCTGTGCAAGTAAGAGAAAAAAGTATATTCTTTGTGCCTTGTATTTTTGGGGGAGAGCTATAAGTATAAGCTGGTTAAAAAAAAAAAAAAATTTTTTTTTTTTGTTTTGTACGATGAAAACCCTGAGGGGGGGAAACAAGATGTATAGAGATGGTAAGATTATGGATTTTAATGTATTTGTTCCAGCTCTTACAAATTTTTGAATGTATATAGGAATATGTTGAAAATGTAGATATATGCCACAGAGTCTATGTATTGTATAAAAGATGGCTCTAGAAAACTCAATTTCGGTACTTGGCCGGAAGAAAACAAATACTTGCACATTTAATGCGATTGTTTATTTTTGTACCAAAGACAAATGCAACTGATATGGCAAACTGCCAGTCTAAGTAAAGTTTTGCACAGCTTACATGATACTGTACTGAATGTAAAAAAGAAAAAAAGAAAAAAAAACAAGAAAAAAGAAAAAAAAAACAAACCTAAAGGTCAGGGTTAGGGATCTTACTGAACTGTGAATTTTTTTTTGTTTGGGTCCAATTATCTACAGAAGGAGCATTCATACATAATATTATTTTGCTGTTCCTGTAGTTCGCTAGTAGATAAGTTGGTGGCCATCTTGGAGTCTTTAAATCTTTTTGTTTTCTCTGCACTTACTGTAGGAAATTTTAATATATTTGGATTTTAGTAAGCTATTAGTAAAATGGTTTTCAATTTTGAGAATTAAAAAAATATATTTAGCTTGTTGTAGTATACTTCCACCAAACAACCAAAATAAAATTATTTTTATTGTAATGTGTATATATGTAAAGAAAAAAGAGCTACAAATATCTAATTCCTTAGTTGCCACTTTTCCAGTTGATGTATTATTATGCATGTGGTGTTTCCAAGGATCAACACAGGCTTAGAAAGAAAAACAAAAAAAATTTATAGACTTTTATATTTTTGTACAGGTATTTCAAAACTAGCTTCTTTAAACTTATGTGACCTTATTCTTGTTAATTCAGTAGTTTCTATGATTGGAGAATATTAACTCACAGTTCTTATTTGCTCTTCTGATCATAAGTTGGCTTTGTTAGTCAGTGTTTAAAGTACAAATTTAAAAGCTTTATCCCTTGACGAGGAAGTCATTTATGTCAAGGCAAGATCATTCTCTGGTTTCAAGGACCCCTTTCCTCCCCTCTTCTTTCTTTCTATTTAAAGATGACAAAACACTGTTTACTGAAAATAGAAATACCAAATATTTTAAAATTATATATGTAGCTGCTGGGGGAAAATGCAAAAGTCCATGAAGGTTTTCTGCCCACTCCCTTTGGGGGCTTGCTCCACTTCATTTACAATTTGTCTAAGTTTCTTTGTACTGTGATTCATTTATGTTATACGTAGGGTTGGGGTTTTTTGGGGGGTTTTTTGGGGTTTTTTTTAGATCTAAGCTCTTTATTGCATGAAGTCATAAATCTCAAATAGTAGAAGGTAGGAGTGGGAGATGAAGATGGCAATCCTGCCACATGGGTGTAGTGTGTACACGACACACTATCCTGATACTCTGGAAGACTCAAAAGTGGGGAAAAAGCCAAAATACCACTACTGGGCTGTACCATAAAGTTTTTTTCATTCATGATTGAAAAAGGCCCCACAGCTAGTTAATCAAAGCTTTGAAAATCCTCTTAAAGGATTTGCAAGATTTGAGTGAGGTCTGTTTGTTTTTTGTTAGCCTTGGGAAGAAGTGCAGGTCTCTTTGCTTCAGAGCAGAGCCTGGTGGCTCATATGCATCCCTCCTGGTATTCCAGTTGTTATACCAGAGATGCATGTGGCCAACAAAAACTCGACTAAGAATGTTTTGTTCTTTGGAACTTCTGTGGCCATGTCTCTAGTAATGCTGATAGTCCTTTCTGGAGAATAGCCTTTAAAACATTGTTGAGACCAGGAAGGTGCTAATGCTCTATGAGAACTGTGTGGGCATGGTAATATTTGATTATGATGACACCAGTGTTTGCAGTTAGTTAAGATTGTACGTGACAGATTTTAAACTGACAAGGTATAAAATATATGCCCCTTTCCACTGCTCAGGTATACTGAGCAACCATTGCTTTATAATGTTTTTTTGTTTTTGTCTGAAAACCAGAATATGATTTTGGTCTAGCATTTCAAAAAAGACTTTGAATCTCTTTAGTGGATTCCATACCTTTGCATTTCAGTGTTTTCTATGTATTATTTTAAGTTAAAGCTTTTAAATAGTTGAGCTTTTTAATGTTGACACTTTATTTTGTACCTATTTATATATGTATCTCTTAGAAAAGCACTTTGTTTAAAAAGATTTTTTAAAAAAAAGAAACTGCATTTTATATGATTCCTGCCACTTGCTGCTAACTCTGGGCTGGTCAGAATGCTGCAGCGATACTTGATCTAAATAAAACCTGGCAGTAAAATGTAGAGTAAAGTTAAGACCTGTGTTGGTTTAACTTTTATTATAAAGATGACATAGGCAAGCTGTGCAGCTTTACATTTTAACCAGGGGACTCTGTGGCATTTAAACAGTCTAGAAATGGTTGTACTTTAATGCCAGTAACAATCTGCTTCCTCTAGTGTCATTAAAATATATTCATTTAGTGTATACTTATCACAAACAAATCTTATAAGGGTAAAGAAAATGTACATGTTCTGTTTGGGTTCTTTTTTCCTTGTTTGAAATTGTGGCATGCATTTCTGGATGATCTTTAGAGGAGAACTCACTAAAGGTTTTCAGTGTTCATACATGGTATGTGGATCTTAATGAAGTCCTGGATTTTTTTTATTTTAATTTTGAGTGTAGGCATTGTGAATATTCACTTTAATCCTGTATCCAAAAACAATTATACAGTTTTTGATTTAATAAATACAACAGCTCTTCCTTTTTCTGATACACTGGATTCTCTAGACCTTATTTCCATATTAAAGCATGCTGTCATGTTGCTCTTGTTAAGATCTTGTCAGTCTGAACTTAGGTGCCACACTTTTTTGTTTTTTAATCTATATGGACTGCTTCTTCTACTGTACCATGTATGATTCTTGTCCTTTCTTATTCCTTCATGACAGATTATGATGTGGCTTTATATTGTGCCTTACTTGTACATCTAGAACTAAATGTTTATTTTTCATTCCCTTGAACTGCTTAAGCCCTCTGACCCTTCTGAAAGCAAATCAGAACTATGATAACAAGCATGATGAAGGGACTTCAAACGGATCTGATTTCAGCTCCGCTCAATAATCGCTTGGTGTAGAATACCAGTTTTCGGTGGCCTTGGGAGATTTGGGGAGGGGAGAGCACTAGGGCTAAAGAGTAGTATTTTTTTACTATGTCCCTTCCTAGCTAGAGACTTTTTTTTCTCTCTCCCCTCCCCCCCGCCATAAGTTTATGAATCAGTTTTCTGATTTTTTTTTTTTTATTGGGGGGTCAGGGATAAGAGCAATTATCAAGTCTCCATATAGCTATGAATGGGCTTAATTCTCCTGTCATATCCATGTAAATAAAGAGTACCAACATTGGCATCAGTGAAGCTACATTGTACTGATGGGAGAATTGGGCCCAGATGTGCTCTGTTCATCGACCTGAATTTAGAAAACTTTCCACTACAAGAGCAAAATTGTTTCTTGGTAAAACACAGGAAAGTCTTTTTAAGTAATCTAAAAAGATTCAGATATTTCTGAAATAGTGCTGTCATTTTGGGTTTCTTTTAAAATTATCTGATGTTTGCCTTGTATTAATAAAATGATGAGTGTATTCACAAAAATGTCAAGAATGGATGTGCTTTTCTTATCCATAGGGTTTGTTTTTTGAAGCCAATAAGATCTTCACCTACCTACTTTCAAAGGGTTGTATACAAGTTGCCTTCAGAAGAAAAGATAGCAAATAGTTTTGTTCCTCAAATTTGCTTAATAGTCTTCCTGAAATTCTGTTGAGGCATAGCCCAACTTACGTATCATGAACTTAGGATCTGTATTTGACCGTGACACCTGAATTTCAAGAAAATGCATCTAATCATGATTCTTTGTTTGAAAGTGAAAGGCTTCCCTTGGGTAGCATCTCTTTCTGTCTGCTTACCAAATGAAGCCTTGGCTTATCCACAACAGCCTAGTAAAGAGCTAGTTTATTTTGTTTACCCCAGGGATCATGTAAAGTACATTTCAAACAGTTGCTGCTGCAGTGGCTGATTTCTTCATGTAACTGTGTTAAGGGCATTAGCATGTTGAAAAAACACCACTCTGAAATCTCTCCGTGTGAATTGGGGTGTTTAAATGTTAACATTGCAGAGATGGCACTTTAGGCCAGGTACAGACATTACACTTTTATGCATATAAGTGATCAGAAACTGGTCTGTACTCAGAACAGAAGTTCAGCGCATACAGATTGGGTTTCACCATTTTTAAAACCAGTCTATTTGTCCCTCTACTCCCCACCAGAGGGCAAACGTGTGTTCTGTTTGCTATGGATCTAAACTACGCTGTTTACAGAAAACGGCATAACTTATCAATTCTGCTTAGGGTTTTTAAAATGTCTGTACCTAGCCATCAAGTATATGTGTGTGTGTGTGTGTGTATGTATGTATATTTTTTTTCCTCATAGCATCCAAAAAACCTTCTATATTCTTTTACTGACATTTGATAACATTTTACAACATCCTGTTATTCTCTAATGCTTCTCACAGGGTGAAAAAGTGTGCACACTGAATTTATACTCCTCAGCTGCTTAAACATTTGTGAACTTCCACAATAGCAAATCCTGATCATGTATTTATTATCTTTCTGTTGAGTAGTGGATCTAAAAATAAGGCCAGAGCTATTTAAGCCAAATCACAACTTTCTTTTGATCTGGACAAAAATCTTTAGCATTTGATTTAAATAGGTTTTACACCACCATAGCCACATTGTGGCTGCAAGGCATGTTAGTGGAGTTAGGAACATTAGGAGAGTCAATATCTAAAGCCAAGCCAGGATGATTAGAAGCTAGAAGTGTAGGAATAACTCTTGGGTTCCATTTTTTTTTTAACTGACAAATGCATATTCCTTCCTTTTTATTATGCCATCTTTTTTTCCCCCTCTCCTTAACTTTAAAAAAAAAAACAAAAAAGCCTAATGGCATATGTGTATCTGCTCCTTTTATACTTTGTGTATACTACTGTGTATTCCACTAACTGCTTTCTTGTTTGAACCACTC